TGTGATAAAACAGTTGAAGGAATAAATCCTTAGTGGAGAAAGGAATGATTTTTTTAAAAAGGATTATTTATTTGAAAGGCAGAGTTATAGAGACAGGGAGTGAGAGAAATCGATCCTCCATCCACTGTTTCACTCCCCAAATGGCCACAACAGCAGGAGTCAGGCCAATCTGAAACCAAGAACCAGGAGCTTCTTCCAGATCTCCCATATGGGTGCATGGCCCCAAGGGCTTGGGCCATCTTCTTCTGCTTTCTCAGGCCATAGCAGAGAGCTGGGTCAGAAGATGAGCAGCCAGGACTTGAACTGGCGCCCATATGGGATGTCTTCACTGCAAGGCGGCAGCTTTACCCACTATACCACAGCGCCGTTTAGTTTTGTTTAGTAAATCAGGTTTAGTTGTGTTGGTATATCGTTCCTCCAAGGTTTGGGACCAATGGTGTCTTGCTCTGCTGTGCTGGATTGTCCTGAATGTGACATGACATTTAATATCCCTGTTCCCTACCAGAGTCACTGGCACAATCAGAGATGCCCTCACACTTTTCCCAATGTTCACCGGGGAGAGGGGTGATGCTGCCATTTTTTAAAAAAATGCACCGTATGTCTTAGGAAACATGTCTTTGTAATCAGCATCACACAGTGGCTGTTGCTCTGCCATGAAGAAAGAATACTTGAGCACACACGCTCCTCTCAGGGGAGGCCCAGAGAGTGCTGGGGAAGAACCGTGTTTGCCTCTGCAGTCTTAGATTATGGATTATTCAGTTGTACCTGCTTTCCAGTATAATAGTGTTGCTTTCTTTGGTTTTCACTTCTCTTGCTTGAGTATTTTGTGAATTTCACATTGGGGGCTCTTGCTTGGCTGGGTTTTATTTGAGTGGATTTGATGCAGCTGGTTCGAGGGTGTCTTCCTCAGAGAGTTACTGAGGCTTTTCTTTGGTGCCTGTCAGAGCTTCCAACACGGGACACTTGTGATGTCTCTGAACCTGGTAGGTGTATTTGAACCCTGAATCCTAGAGATCCTCAGCCAATACCCACTCCCAGCCCTCAGTGTGGAGAAAGGACTGAATGGGGCTGATTTCCTTGTTTTCTTCCTCAACCGACTAGCACATTTTCAGTAAAACTAGCCTTTCACAAGGTGAGTGTCAGTCCTTTGAGGTCCCTGCTCAGTGTGGAGAGCCTTGGTTGCGTTCTCCATCTTCCACAGGCAGGGCCTACACTGGTGCTGAAATGAGCAAGCGCCCCAGGGCGGCGATGACTTCACCACCTGCTCCAGGGTCCCCCCACATTCAGCTTTGCCCGTGGGAATTTCTTCAGAGACTTTTTATTTAATTAAGATATTTTATTTATCATTTTTTGATGTTTTGTAAATGGGAGAATTATTTTCAGATTACCCAGCCTACCTTTCAAAATTCTGACACGTGACCTTCACTCATCTGATTCTGACTTCTTTCAGGTTTCCTAAAACTACTTGTTTGCTGTTCTTTTGATTTTTCATTTATTTCCCACCTCATATCCTCTATTGTTGGAGTTTTATTTCTTTTTAACAAAGATCCATGCTTTTATTTATTTGAAAGGCAGAATTACAGAGAAGGGGTGGGAGAGAGGGAGAGATTTTCCATCTGTTGGTTCACTCCCCAAATGGCTGAAATGGGGTTGGGCCAGGCCGAAGCCAGGAGTTTGGAACTCCATCCAGATCTCCCACATGGGAGATGGGGTGTCCAAGTGCTTGGACAGTCTTCTGCCCAATCCCATTTGGGCTGAGGAAAAGCACGTGTCTTTACATTTACTATGATTTTCAATTTGAACTTAAACAGCCATCTTTGTAAATAGGAAAGGGGCCATTTGAAGGGTGACAGTCAGGCCACTGACTGTGCAATGAGGCCAGGCTCCCCCTTAGGTGAAGCAGTCCCGTGTGCAACAGTTGACCAATGTGGCAGTCTTACCATGGAGCCTAAATACATAGGGCACAGCTCGTCCCAGTGATGAGAAACCAGAATTTTTAAATTTCATTCAATAAGTATTGACTGCAGTGTATCTGACAAACTACTAGGAGTACAGAAATAACTAAGATGCCGTGTCTGTCCTCAGAGCCCGCTGACTGTGTTGGAGACAGCTGGATAAGTTCAAGCACAGTCAGTTCTTACTCGTACCGGTTCTGATCTTCAGAGCCCGAGCAAGCTCTGGGTCCCTGAGTGTTATGCTGTTTGCAGGGGAAGTACAGGAAACACAGCTGTGGTTGACACTGTGTTCAGCTGATCAGTACATAACCTTGTTTTACATGTGCTTGTGCTTAAACACAGCATATAAAATACGTATTATTGATTTTTATATTGGCCGCACAGCCAGCTCCCATTTGAATGAAGCTTCTCTCTCTTATTTTCTCTGTATGGCACACCCCAGCTGTCTTGTGTTGGAAACACCAGGCAGGACTTCAGTACCATGCCTTGGGGTTATTTTTCACAGCAGAATCATAAACAAAAAGCACAAAAAATTTTTGCTTTTAAAACTTCTGATTTGATGGAGGATTAAGCCTTTTTACTGTAATGTAAATTTAAAATGCTATCTCAAAGACTAAAAAACAAAGAATGGAGGAGCGTGGAGAGGAGTGAAGGGGAGAAATATCATTATATCCCTGGAATTGTATGTACAATTTGTATTGAATCTGTTAAAAACTAAAAAATTTTAAAAAGAACATAAAACATAAAGCAAAAACACTATAGCACAGAAAGGACACGTGTTTTCAGCATGACAGTGGAAACATGGAAAGCAGAGGGTAACATTGTCAGACCGCAGCCAGGACTGTGCAGTGTTGGGCAACTCAGATGTTTGTCACTGAGTATCTACAAATGACCATAAAACTCCTGAGTATTGATTTTGGGGTTAAAAATAAATATTACTTGGAAGAGAATTTGTAAATGCAGAATCCATGAATAATGCAAATTGCTTGTATTTGTTCTAACTAAACTGTAAAGAGCTGTATATATCAGAGATGGCTAGGGTGGGTCAGGGAAGGCCTCACCCCAGACAGGTTGAAGTTACAGCAGCATGAAGCAGTGGAATTGGGGAAGAGAAAGTGATTCACTGTGGCTGGAATTACCAGGAGCCCTGTAACAAGGCACAAGAAGGGATGTTTGGACTGGACAGTTAACAGGGAGGCTGTGAAGGCTCCTACGCTGTATTAAGGAATTTGGGTTTATAGATAATGGGGAACTAGTGAACTGTATATTTGAGAGGCAGAAAAGCAGATAGAGAACATGTGTCCCCATCTGCTAGTTCGTTCCCTAAATGTCCACAAAAGTCTTGGTCGGGAGCCCAGAACTCAATCCAAGTCTCCCATCTAGGCGGGAGGATCCCAATTGTTTGTCCACAGTCTGCATTAGCAGGAAGCTCGAATCGGGTGCCAGAGGCAGAGGTCAAACCGAGGTGCTCCCAGAAGGGATGCCAGCATCCTGATCCATGTCTTAACAGGCCAAGTGCCCACCCCTAGTGAATGATTTTAACCAGAAGAGAAACACAATCATATTTGTATTTTGCAGAGCTCACTCTGATAGTGGTACTGGGGACAGATGAAGTAAGAAGAATAAAAGAAGGTTTAGATATGAAAGTGAACAATGTTGAGAATGAGAGCTAAGGCAGTGATGATGGAGATCGAGGGAAAAAATGGTTATTATTCGAGAAGTATGCAAGATATCAAACTGAATAGTCTTGGTGACAGAATAAGGGAGACTGAACAGCCATACAAGGGTGCCTTTAATTAAGATGGGGAACATAGGAGGATAACCACAGGGAGGAATGGGATAAGTTCTGGAGATGTCAAGTTTGTGGTGCCCATGGGATATCTTTATGGAGATGAAGACAGAATGAGTCTGGTGATGCTTTGGAGATAGAGATTTGAGGTTAGGCACTGATAAATAGCTGAATGCCTGCTGTGTGTGATGCCACAGAGTGAGTGCAGAGGAGTTAGAGCAGGGTGTAAATTTCCAGCTAGGGGAGGCAGGCACCACATGAAGGTAATTTCAGGTGAGTGCTGTGATGAAAGTGAAACTAGCAGGATGAGAGTGGCTCAGGTTGGGGTGAGCTTAGATTGGGTGTTGGGCCCATTCTCTGAGGAGGTGATGTTTGCCTGGAGACTAAATGAAGACAATAGGGATGCATACGTGGCTCTCTGGGAAGGTCATTTCCAGCAGAGGGAACAGAAAAGGAGCTGGGTGTGTTTGAGGGAGGGCAGAGGTACACAGGGTGCTGCATCTTGAAGGCTCTGGTCAGGGGTCTGCGTATTTTTCTAAGTACAGGGGGAAACCTTTGGGCAGCTTTAGCAGAAGAGTAACAGAATCGGTTTTATGTTTTGAAAGGATGGCTTTTGCTACTCTATGGAGAACATTGTTGAGAACTAGAGTGAGAGTACAGGAACCAGCCAAGTGACCCCTGCAGTGGCTGGCAAGGGTGATGATGGGTCTGTCGTGTGATAGCTGCAACTGAGTGAGGGACCCAGTTGGCTTTTCTTCAGTCACCTCTGTCATGACTGAATAATCACTGATCTGTTATGAATTCCAGATATTATTGTAAGTGGTATGTGAAACACGAGATGTCTTAAAAGCAGAAATCACCAATAAAGTTCAATACTCTAAGATTATATAGTTTTGAGATACTCATTTAAAAAAAGATTCTAACTTGCATATTTAGTGAAATGTGGCAGTGATCCTATAGTCATATTTCATCTTTATTGGTGCTTATTAAGTGTGCGAAAATGCTTTCCAATAATGCTACTAATTCAATTATAATCCTGTATGTTTTCTTATAATAAAGAAAGCTTTGACCTGCTTTGTTAATTAGTGATTAGGTCGATAAAAATTTATGCAAAGCAGGGCTACTACATTGTGAAAGCAGATTAGGAATAGCCATTTATTTGAGCTCTGTGGGTTTTTTTTGTTTTGTTTTGTTTTGTTTTGTTCAGTTTTTAAAGAATCTGTAGGCCCCGCTTTTTTCTGTCTTTGTACTATGCTTTAACAAGGATGTCTATAGACATAGCAGTGAACATGGACCATGGTGGTGAAAAACTGGGAATTAGCAAGCCAGCTAAGGGGATTTTTAAATAGTCTAGGAAAGAGAAGACCAAAGCTCTACACCAATGGGCAGAGAGTGGACATTGTGCTGTGGATAACTTTCAGACTTGCAGTGAGATTTGAAGAAGAATTAGATGTCTGGAGGTTAGGGGAAAGAAAACCACAGTTGACTCTGAAGTTATAATTGTGGAGAATGGTGGGTGGTAGTGGTGATGTTATAAGCTGTGGAGAATGGTGGGTGGCAGTGGTGATGTCATAATACAGGTGAGCGGCAGAATCTACAGTAGAAGGAGAAGGCTTGGTCAGGACCAGTGAGCAGTCCTGCACGTGGTGAGTCCAAGGCGCCATCTTTGGGACTCCCAGGGGAAATGTATCAAGGAGGCAGTGGAGAAAGGTGAGTGCTGTCACTAAGACATGGGAACCATCGTCAAGTGGAAAGTACTCAAGCCCTGGAAGTGAGTGAGCTCACGCAAGGAAACACGGAAGCCCGAGCAGTGCCAACAGCAGTAGTCGTCTGTCCTCAAGCAGGAGGGGGACTGGCTGTGCTGGAGACTTGCCCTTTGGGATTCTTAACCTCATTCAGGAGGCCTGAGGAGAGTGACCACCGGGCTGGTGGGCATGGGGCACTGCAAAGGCACAGCATGGGCTGCTATTTCCTTTTTTTAAACATTTATTTGTAAGAGTTACAAAGAGAACCAAAGAAAAATCTTCCATCTACTGGTTCACTCCCCTCAATAAAAAGTAAGTAAACTTGGTTAATCTTCCACCAGCAGCACCAGCATCCCATATGGGCGCCGGTTCTAGTCCCGGATGCTCCTCTTCTGATCCAGCTCTCTGCTGTGGCCCGGGAGTGCAGTGGAGGATGGCCCAAGTGCTTGGGCCCTGCACCCACATGGGAGACCAGGAGGAAGCACCTGGCTCCTGGCTTCAGATCGACTCAGAGCTGGACATTGCGGTCATTTGGGGAGTGAACCAATGGAAGGAAGACCTTTCTCTCTGTCTCTCTCACTGTCTATAACTCTACCTGTCAAATAAAAAAGTTTATAAAAAAAAGTAAAAATTTGAAAAGTATTAAAAATTAGGAAGGAAGGTACTGATGTGGAGGAAAGAGCTGTAGCATTAAGAGGTGAGTGGAGGTTTTGCATGCTTTTTTCCAGGGCTACCTATACTGAAATGTGTGTGGGCAAGCCATGGCAGGCTGCTGGGCAAATCATTTCACTGAGTCTAAATGCAAACGATTTCCTTAATGACTTATCAAACCAAAGACTGTAAAAGGAGTTTGGCTACCACATTATTATTATACCTAATCATTATAGATTAGGACTTGTGAGACATTTTATAGTATTTGAAGCAATTTTTTTTTAATGTAGCCTTTTGGAAATTTGTGAAGGATACAAATTACTGTATGTTTAGTTCATTTTGTTACTAGTGTTTTAGCAGCTTGGCACCCAGTTCAGCCTTTACCTGCTAGAAATGAAGGGTGGGCAAAGATGTCCAGCCGATGCGTGCTGTAGGGTAATTTGCAATCAAAAAAGATGAAAATGGGATTGGGATTCAAGTTGATTTCATCTAATTTGGATACTCTTTCACCACTTTGGGCAGATTTTATGTTGCTTAACTTTTTTACAACTACAAAGTCTTTCAGATAAGAAATGTGAGGTAAAATCAAAAATAGTCTGTTCATTTGGGGTAGAATATAGTTCTGTGTTCTCACCAGGATAGAACTTCTTTGGACTTTATATTCCTAAAATGTTGTTAAATAATAAAGCTAAATGTGTTCAAGCTTTTCATCTTTACACACAGAACCAGAGTTTTCTAATATTTGTGCTGTGTTTTAGCATTGCGTGGGAGGACCCTGTGTTGTGTGTGCATCAGTCCTGTTACCTGAGCGTTCACCCTCGGAAGGGATGACTCAGTGGCGTTGCAGCTCTGAAGAGAATTTGTTTCCCGTTTCTTTCTCACCATCGGAAATACTTTGTTCTTACTTTTAATGCAGTGCTTTATACTTACTTTTATGTATTGTTTTGCTTAGTGCTTTATAGAGTGGTATAAAGCAAAAGTAAACAGCAGCCTGAGTGTTGAGTGAGGTGAGAATAAAATATTCTTATGAGCTAATTGTAGTAGCTTATAAAATATTTTATATAGCAAGATCTATGTCCTTTTAGCATACCAGAATAATCTAAATTGTATTTGATTACAGGTCACTGGTTTTTGAGTTCCAATTCCTTGTTAGAATGGATTTGGTACTGTGTACTGTTCCAGGTAACGGAAGTGGTTTAGGATTGACAGCAGATAAACATGGGAGCAAGTAAAAACAGTTTTATGATGAATTAAATAAGGCTGAAAACTTTCCTTTTATGTAAGTTAAATCTTTACATTTATAAATGTAGGAAATGGTCATAGTTTTCAGAATATTTCTGCATATGTTGCATTTTAATTGAATGCTTTACTAAAATACATTTCACAAGGTGGGCATTTGGTTTGTCGGTTAGGATAGTGGTTTGGGATGCCTGAGTACCTGAGTTGGAGTCCCGGCTCCTGGGTGACGAACACCTGGGGAGGCAGCAGTACTTAGGGCCTGCCACTCACTTGGGAGACCTGGATTGAGGTCCTGGTCCTGGCCTCAACTTTATAGGCCTTAGTGGGAAACTGGACAGTGAGCCGGTGGATGGGAGCTCTCTCTCTTTTTGCCTTTCAAATAAATATTTTTCAAAACAAAATACACTTTTTAAAAGATTTATTTATTTGAAAGTCAGAGTTACACAGAGAAGGAGAGGCTGAGAGAGAGAGAGAGGTCTTCCATCTGCTGATTCGCTCCCCAGTTGGCCGCAATGGCTGGAGCTATGCAGATCCAGAGCCAGGAGCCAAGAGCTTCCCTCTGGGTGTCCAATGTGGGTGCAGGAGCCCAAGGACTTGGGCCATCTTCTACTGCTTTCCCAGGCTATAGTAGAGAGCTGGATCAGAAGTGGAGCAGCCAGGACTCGAACCGGCGCCCATTTGGGATGCCGGCACTCCAGGCAGTGGCTTTACCCGCTACACCACAGTGCTAGCCCCCAAATAAACTTTTTTTAAAAATACCATTCATGATATAAAGAAGAATTGAATGAAGCATATCTTCTAAGGATAACTTGTCCTCTCCCAATTTTCATCTTCTAAGAGAAGATGCTTCTTTTTAACTTCAGAAGACTCAGTATAATTCCATGATTTTTCTGTATTCAAACTGGATGCTGTTTATGCATAATAAATGTATTCTTTTTTCTTTTACATTCTTGTTTCTTAATTAAAACTGAATGCACATGCAGCAGAAAGACCAGCAGTACTCCCTGACTCTATCTGTGCTTCTTCCTCCCAGCAGGGTGTTACTTTTAGAAAATCTCAGCTAATTCTTTTATTTTTTATTTATTTTTTTATTGACAGGCAGAGTGGACAATGAGAGAGAGAGAAAGGAGCTAATTCTTTTGACATTGAATTCCTTGTCAGTGAATGGCGTGCCTATGTGGCTGATTTTTCTATTTTGAAAGACAATTTATTTTTTCCCAGCCTGCCCCAACACATGTAATACTTACTTCCAGTCCCTCAGTCCTCTCCACTTAACCGTGTGGGTAATTTTGATCAGACCCGTATGTATTAGCTGACCCATTAGTGAGTTGTATTTATCTCCGTTTCTGTATTTTTATTTTCTTGGAGTTAGTGGTTGTTTATTTGTTAGCTTTCTATAGTCAACCCCCAGATCTCTGGTTTTCTAAGCGAGCTTTCAGTGCATTTATTCAGATTTATCAGCTTTATTTTCTTAGGGCTGTGCCTCCTGGGGCCTCTGACCTGTCCAGTGTGAACCTGTCATTCTGTCCCTGGTGGCTTCTAGTTCCTGTGTCTTCCCTTTTTTTATTTGCCTGTTTGTTTCATGCTCGGAAAGCAGTTTTTCTTTTTTATTACCTTTTTAAGAAAAAGTGCTGGTGGTTGATTAATTTTGTGAAGCCTTATAAGCAAGTCTGAAAGTTACTTATAACCATTCTCATGTGATGGTTTGACCAGAAAATATTTAAAGGCCTCATGGATCATCCTGTCATTAGGTGTCATTGTGTCCAAGTGGTTCAGGACCACTTGGACCCCTGTTTCTGGACCTGAGACAAGTTTGCCTTTATTTCACTGTGTTCTGGAGCTTCACAGTGAAGGGTCTTAGTATGAGTATGTTAGCTTCTGCTAAAAGCTCAGTGCCCCACTGAGTCCAGCTACTTTGGCTTTCAGTCTGGAAAGTGTTGCATATTTCATTATTTCTCCTTCTCCATTTAACCTTTTCCTCATTTCCTTTTTCTTTTTTATGTATTTATTTATTTGAAAGAGTTACACAGAGAGGAGAGGAAGAGAGAGGGGCAGAGGGCCAGAGGGCCAGAGGGGCGGAGGGAAAGAGGGAGGGCTAGGGGCTAGGGGTTAGGGGTTAGGGTTAGGGTGAAGGAGGGAGGGAGAGAGGGGTCTTCAATCAGCTCTTTCACTCCCCAATTAGCTGCAATGGCTGGAACTGTGCCGATCCGAAGCCAGGAGCCTGGAGCTTCTTCCAGGTCTTCCACATGGGTGCAGAGGCCCAAGGACCTGGGCCATCTTCTACTGCTATCCCAGGCCATAGCAGAGAGCTGGATTAGAGATGGAGCAGCCGGGACTTGAACCCAGCTCCCATATGGGATGCCAGCACTTCAGGTGGAGGCTTAACTCATTATACCACAGCGCCGGCCGCCTCATTTCCAGAGATTCTTATTTAGATGTCCTCTAATCAGGCCCTCTAATTTTTTCTGTTTTACCCACCACGTGCTTTTCTACTTTTCATGGTATTTGTTTATCTTCATGGTTTGTATTGAATTAAAAAAAAACTTTTCATCTACTAGAAAGGCAGTGCAACAAAGAGAGATAGGGAGAGGGAGGGGGAGAGAGAGAGCTCTAGCATCCATCTGCTTGTTCACTTCCCAGATTCTACCAATAGCCGGCAGTGAGCCAGATAAAAGCCAGGAGCCAGGGCCTCGGGCTGGTGAGTCTCCTGTACAGTGGCATGGACCTAAGCACTTGTGCCATCTTCTGCTGCCTCCCAGGGTGCGTTAGCAGGAAGATCTGTCATACTGGCACTCCAGTATGGGATGTGGGCATCCCAAGTAAGGGTTTAACCTGTTGCAGCACAATGCCTGCCTCTATATTGATCTTTTAATTTCCGCTTTTATGTTTTTTTATGTTTTGGAGCTCTTTTGTTTTCAAAACCTAGAATGTTCATCTGGTATCACAGTCCTCTTCTAGTTTCATGAATACAGTATTCTTGTTTCTCTAAATTTTCATGACTTTTTTTCCATCTTGAATAGGTTGATTTTATCTATTTATTTTAGTCTCTTTCATGTTACAGGCTTTTCCAGGCGT